CCTCCGCCGCTTAGTGGGAGTCTGAAGGATAGGGGTGGTGGGAAAATCCCTGCGGAAGGGTTCTGACTGGCCTGGTTCTGCCCAGTGACTTCGACCCTGGAGATATTTGACGAAGCCCCAGAAGTCTAGGATCTCGAGTCCTTTCATCTCCCACTGGGGCAAAGGATCATCTAGACCGACGTTAAGGAGGTCCTTAAGAGTAGCATCATTATAATTTAGGCCCACCGCCAACGTCCAAAAGGTCTGGGCAAAACCACCAACCTCCATTCCTTCCTGCCTCCAAGCCAATCTCCATCCCCTGTTGGCGAAGATCCACCAACATTCCTTCGAAGCAGAAGGAATAATACGAATGTCCATGGTCCACAAAAAAAAGGTAAAAAGAAAAACAAACTGCTGGATCTTGTAGTGGCTGCTAGATTCTGTCACAGAATGCCAGGAGAAAACAAGGTAGATCCAAGTGCAGTTTAATGAAAGTAACAAATGAACAGAACCGAACAAAAGCGTGGCAAAAGGTAATCCAAAACACAGAGAACAGAAAACACGATGAACATGGGACAATTATGACCTCAGAAGACAATACAATCTAGCAGCAATGACAGACAGAGTGAGCATGGTATATTGGGGAAAAAAAGTATTTAGTCAGCCACCAATTGTGCAAGTTCTCCCACTTAAAAAGATGAGAGGCCTGTAATTTTCATCATAGGTATACCTCAACCGGACTGGAGCGGGCTCTGGAGTGGGCTCTGTGAGCTCCCGGACTGGAGCGGGCTCTGGAGTGGGCTCTGGAGAGGGTCTTCCTGTCCTCCTTCTCACCCTCCGCCGCTTAGTCGGAGTCTGAAGGACAGAGGTTGTGGGCTCTGTGATCTCCCGGACTGGAGCGGGCTCTGTGAGCGCCCGGACTGGAGCGGGCTCTGGAGTGGGTCTTCCGGTCCTCCTTCTCACCCTCCGCCGCTTAGTGGGAGTCTGAAGGACAGAGGTGGTGGGCTCTGTGAGCTCCCGGACAGGAGCGGGCTCGGGAGTGGGTTCTGTGAGCTCCCCGATTGGAGCGGGCTCTGGAGTGGGCTCTGTGAGCTCCCGGACTGGAGCGGGCTCTGGAGTGGGCTTTCCCGTCTTCCTTCTCACCCTCCTCCGCTTAGTGGGACTCTGAAGGATAGGGGTGGTGGGAAAATCCCTGCGGAAGGGTTCTGACTGGCCTGGTTCTGCCCAGTGACTTCGACCCTGGAGATATTTGACGAAGCCCCAGAAGTCTAGGATCTCGAGTCCTTTCATCTCCCACTGGGGCAAAGGATCATCTAGACCGACGTTAAGGAGGTCCTTAAGAGTAGCATCATTATAATTTAGGCCCACCGCCAACGTCCAAAAGGTCTGGGCAAAACCACCAACCTCCATTCCTTCCTGCCTCCAAGCCATCAGAGTCCGGTGTCTGATCATTCGCTCCTTCCCTGTGGCAGGAGGGACGATCCGAAGGTCCATGGTTCACAAAAAAAAAGAAAAAAAAATTGTAAAAAGAAAAACAAACTGCTGGATCTTGTAGTGGCTGCTAGATTCTGTCACAGAATGCCAGGAGAAAACAAGGTAGATCCAAGTGCAGTTTAATGAAAGTAACAAATGAACAGAACCGAACAAAAGCGTGGCAAAAGGTAATCCAAAACACAGAGAACAGAAAACACGATGAACATGGGACAATTATGACCTCAGAAGACAATACAATCTAGCAGCAATGACAGACAGAGTGAGCATGGTATATATAGATGGGATAATGAGTAAATGATAAACAGGTGATCAGGATCGGAAACAATAAACAGGTGCTACTGATCAGAACAGAATTAACAAGCAAGGGACTATGGGAAATGGAGTTTAACACATAAAACATAGAAACAGGAAGAGCGCCCTCAAGTGGCCAGTCCAGGGCACCACAACCAGACACTGTGACAGTTATGACACGTTATTCAGATACTAGGTATGCAAGTGGTTAGTTAATGGATTTTTGTTTGTTTCATTCCTGAAATCAGCCAGTAATCTATATATATATATATATATATATATATATATATATATATATATCCCTTGTGCAACCTTTTGGACATTTTTATCCTTTTCAGTTTTTTTTTTGATCATTTTGCCTGTGTTATTGCCAACTGCATAAATTTTGGCACAGGTGTGTATTTTTATTGGAATTTTACTATTGTACCCCCATTTCCTTTAATAAATCTATTTTGCACTAGGTACACAAAATAGTTCCTCTCAGGACCTTTTGGACAAAAATGTCCCCATTAAAACAGCTATTTTTAATCGCAGTGCCATTTAACTGTAAAATTATGCAATTTTTGTTAATAGACTTTCATTCTGTTGGCAAGGCTTCAACATTTTATTTTTTACTATTTTTAACCAGATGGTGCCATTTTTTCAGGTTTGGCTTATAAAGCAAATACTCGCTTTATTCCTGTTTTCTGCTTCTGCATATTATAGAGCCAATTGGATAAATAATACAGCTATAATTGTGTGGGTGTGTAGGTATGGATGTCTCTATGGATGAGTGTGGTTTGTATGTGTGTCATAAAAAAAATTGTGTGTGTGTGTGCTTGTAATATTTGAAAGAGAACACATAAACATTTTTTTCATAAAAAAATTTTTGGTTTCACTTTTAAACTTTTTTTACTTCAACAATAATCTGCCATGGGTTTTCTTTAAAATGAGACCAAACTTAAGTCTGTGCTCCCAAGCTTCAAATTTTTATGACACTGACATTTTTGTCCACTATGGCCCTATGCGTAACTTTTTTAATTGATGTTCCAGGGTTATATATCCCTATATATATATATGTTGCATGTAAATGTAATCTGTTACATTTACTGAGAAAACATGTGTAATTAAATTGCAGTTACTTATGAAATTGTTAACGATTACAAAGGTTACACACGATTACAAAGATTAACTGTTTTCCAAGGCATTGTTACATGCCAGTGTTTCCTGTCATAACTATGCAAAGATTTGATTTCAAAAACAGAATAGTTCAACTTTATTAAACTATTTTTTGTTATGATTTAAAAACTGTATTCAACCTCAGAATTATCTGAAAGTAAAAAGAGGTGCTAAAGTCTGATTTTGTGGTGGGTATGCTTTAAAATGTAAATATTATAATCTTAATTCAAGTGAAGAAGGATTTTGAAAGTATGACTTTAATTAGTGTTGAGTACTACTGTAAAGTTAACCCTGCCTGGTTTCAATGTTTGAAAATGATTAACAGTTGGAAACATTTGTTTAAAAGTAATCAAATGTAATCAGTTACATTAATAAAGTATTTGAAATAGTTACACTATACATTTTAAATAGGGTAACGTAATCTGTAACCTATTACATTTCCAAAGTAACCTTCCCAACACTGTCCCTCACACAATGTTCTCTATGATAAGGTACAATATAGGGCTTAAGAGCCCTTGAATGTTATTTTCTCCCAAAACATCACATGGCAACAAAAACACTACAGCACTTTCCCAAATACCTTTTTGAACAAAATGTTTTGCATAAGTGAGTTGAATTTGTTTTGCCATTGTGTACAAAGATGGCTTATATGTCAAAGCTCAAATCACAACAATGATTAATTTGTGGAATATGCCTGTTGTTGTTAGACAATTCTGTAATAAATAAAAACAATATTTAAAATTAAATTAATTGAAAATGACAGACTTTTTTAGTTTATTAGGGTTGGAGCTGTAATAAAAGTTTGCTTTAGTCTTTAGCATTATAGAACAATGCTTTGGCAGAAAAAAATAAATAAATCAAACATGAATCTTCCACTTGAGAAAGCTTAATTGAACACTCCTCACCCATGAAATAGGCGACTGTCTTGCACATCGCTGCTCCAAAGATGAAGTCCTCCAGCAGGCTGGGGATGAGATTAAAGGGCATGCAGAAGATGGCCATCATGAGATCACTAACAGCCAGCGAGAGAAGGAAGGAGTTGGTGACAGTCCGCATTCTCTTGTTTGCTATTAGGACCACAATGATCAGCAGGTTCCCAAAAACACTCAGGAGAAAGACAAGTGAGTAAAGAATAATCCTCACTGAGTCCATTTCTGAGGAGAGAGAAAAGGCCATTTTGGTCAAAGGAAATAATACATTCTCTCACAACACCATTTTTATATATATATTTTTTTATTTTCCAAAGGGAAATGTGTAAAAATCCTTTGCTATTTACATTTGCATGTCTTTTACTGCACAAACTGATGAGCCTAGGTGTATGTGTTGTATGGTGGGTTATAAGGAGGGGGGTCTGTTTACATGCATCATCTCCTCATCAGGACAGTAATGATGCAGACAGTCCTGAAAAAATGACATTTTTTGATTTCACATGAGGAATCCGTAAAGTAATCACACTCCTAGCCAGGTGGCTGACTGTGAATTCCTCGCCTCAGGTTTGAACAATCAATTCACCATCAATCACAGTTCAAAGTATTCTCGATGCATTTTTTCACCACCTAGCGTGTAGTCGTTATTGATAATCATTCTCTCTGTTTCGGTGGTTGATTCTGGCTCATCTCTCACACTCCTGACGTAGGCCACATAATCTATAACAATTTAGTCAGACCTCGTTAAGTTGAAGCAACCATATATTATGAACACTTAAAATCTTCTAAAGTGTAAATTTGATTTATTGTTTCTGCATTCATAATAGTGAGTTGTTATGAGTTAACATGTTTCACTAAAATGCTCAGCCATTGCTGTGGTGTTTAGTCTGTCATCTGATAGTTTGATTTACATGTAGGGAAGAAGTTGGAAAAATATTACATGAAACATTTAAATTTGATTCCCCAGAAACAAATAGCTTTGAGTGTTGTATGTAAATCCATTTATGCCTCAACTGGGGGAAAATAATAATAAATAATAAAAATAGGTAAATAGGATAGTTTATATCTTCATATCTTACAATTGAGACTTAATAATAATTTATTAATCATAATCGTGACTTTACATATTGCAATGTGACTTTATGTCTGACAACTGGCACATTATTGCTCATAACTGCAACTTTATTTTTAATAACTGTGACTTTATATCTTGCAATTGTGACATATTTTAATTGTAACTTTACTTTGTAATGTATCTGTTCTTCTTTCTCGTTTTCTTTTGTCTTACAATTACATTATTATTTACACTTGAGCAGAAACCAGCAAAGCTTTCATTATGGAATCTCCATGTTATTGCTCCATTGATTTGTTTTGTCCTTAATTTAATATAGACGGGGGAAAAAATGCTCATTTAACAGGGGCTAACATAAATATGCATTCTGTAGCGCGTAATCAAGAACAGTTTAGCAGAGATTGATTTACAGTATGCCATTCTGCTGTTTACTCCCTCTTTTGCTGCTGTTTCATAACATAATTCATAAACATTGCTCTTTGTCCATGGGCATAAACAGATGGAAGTACAATGGTAGCTTCTGGAAAGCATAGAATTGTCATTTGTGAAGTTGTGGCCACCTCTAGTCACAGTCAGTGGTGTCGGCACCACTACAGTTAATCCAGTGTCATCCCAATGGTATAGTGCATTGCTCATTCTAGTGTTCACTGTCAGTCTGCGTGTAGTGTCATAGCTGTTACTGTTGTGACAGCTCCTCGCTTTTCATGTTCCCCTGACCTGCCCTGACAGTTCCTCTGTTCATTTGTCTTGCAGCTCTGCTGGGAGCAGAACCTGTTCTCACAGGATCAGTATCTACCAACTGGCTCCTCCTGCATGTCAGATTTACTTCAGATCAAATTAAATAGGCACTACCAGGTTACTAAATCACAAAGAATAAAAATAACATAAATGCAGTTATTTAGGGTAAATTTATTCATCCATGTCACTTTGGTTGATCTTGTTCTTAGTTTGGTTTCTTAGTCAGGATCCTGACACTTATGTGGTGTATTGTCTTATCTTTGTGTGAGCATGCAGCTTTGAGTTGCTCTCTCATCCATGTGGTGTGCTGTGTGTTCAGGGCATGGTGCCTGTATCTTGACACTCCTATCTGATTGAGTTTCGGCTCAGTGATGGGGTCCAGTTGGGGGTTCTTTGTTTTTCTGTTGATGTTCTCTCTACAGTCTGAATACCTTACAGTTAGGTCTATATATATTTGGACACTGACACAATTTTCATAATTTCAGCTCTGTATGCCACCAGAATAGAATTAAAATGAAACAATCAAGATGAAATTGAAGTGCAGACTTCAAGCTTTAATTCAAGGGGTGGAACAAAAATATAACATAAAAAGCTTAGGAATTACAACCGTTTTTATACACAGTCCCCCCATTTTCAGGGGCTCAAATGTAATTTGACAAATAAATATAATCATAAGAAAAATGTTCATTTTTAATATTTTGTTGAGAATCCTTTGCAGGCAATGACTGCCTTAAGTCTGGAACTCATGGACATCAGAGACTGGGTTTCCTCCTTTGTGATGCTTTGCCAGGCTTTCACTGCAGCTGACGTCAGTTATTGTTTGTTTATGGGTCTTTCTGCCTTTAGTTTTGTCAGGTTGAAATCAGGAGATTGACTTGGCCATTGCAGAATATTCCACTTTTTTACCTTCAAAAACTCCTGGGCTGCTTTTGCAGTATGTTCTGGGTCATTTTCCATTTGTACTATGAAGCACCGTCCAATCAACTTTGCTCCATTTGGCTGAATCTGGCCAGAGAGTATATCTCTATACACTTCAGAATTCATCCGGCTGCTTCTGTCCTCTGTCACGTCATCAATAAACACCAGTAACCCACTGGAAGCCATGCATGCTCATGCCATCACACTGCTCCTCCATGTTTCACAGATGAAGTTGTATGCTTTGGATCATGAGCTGTTCCAAGCCTTCTACTTTTTTCTTCCCGTCATTGTGGTACAGGTTGATCTTAATTTGAGATGACCAAAGAATCCTTTTCCAGAAGTGGTCTGGCTTTTTTAGATGTATTTTGGTAAAGTCTAATCTGGCCTTGTTTGCACCTTGTGGTGAACCCTCTGTATTTGCTCTGGTGAAGACTTCTCTTGATTGTAGACTTTGACAGTGACCCGTCTGCCTCCTGGAGAGTGTTCTTCCCTTGGCTGGCTGTTGTGAAAGGGTTTTTCTTTACCATGGAGAGGATCCTCTGATCATCCATAACTGTGGTCCGCCGTGGCCGTCTAGGCCTTTTTATGTTGCTGAGCTCACTAGTGGGTTTTTTCTTCTTCTCAGAATGTACCAAACTGTTGATTTGACCACTCCTAATGTTCCTGCTATCTCTCTGATGGATTTGTTTTGTTTTTGAAGCCTAACAATTGTCTGTTTCACTTGTATGGAGAGATCCTTTGACCGCATGATGTGGGTTCACAGCAACAGTTTCCAATTGCAAATGGCACACTTAGAATCAACTCCAGACCTTTAAAGAATAGCCCATATCCGTCCATGAAACAGCTTTTGAGTCAATTGTCCAATTACTCATGGTCCCTTGAAAATGGGGGTAGGTACATATTAAAGAGCTGAAATTCCTGAACCTTTCCTCCAATTTTGATGAATTGAGAATGTTCACTTTAAGCCCATCTTCATTATATAACTGTAACGTAAATGTTTTGGTCAGCAGCTAAAATAATAAAAATTGTGCCTGTGTCCAAATATTTATGGACCTGACTGTATGCATATTTATATAATACATTCATTTACAGTATTATACAGGCCTTCTTAAAGCTGCTGTAATTTCAGTGCCAGTACTATCGCCAAATAGAATTGTAAAAAAAAAGAGTAAGAAAAAAAACATTGATATTACTTTGGGATGGGGCAAGTATTTTACATTAAAAAACAATACAAAACAAATAAACAAAAGTTTAATACTGTGCCCATTCTGGTAACCCATCAATTCGTCAGTTTTGAAAATACATAGTTTGGCATATCCCTATACTGAATGATGAACATATTCATCGACTATGGTATTTATGTGGTACTTAAAAAAAAAAAAAAA